TGCACAGCCGCTGCAGCCTGGGCTCGCTGCCCCTGAAACCACAGCGCAGCCCTGCAGACACTTCGGTAAAGCCATCGCCCACATCTCCGTCCTTGCTGCACACCCCTGAGAGCCCCCTGCGGCTCCCCTCCCATCCCAAAGGGCAGAGGGAGCAGAGCTGTCGGCAGCAGCACTCGTGCCAGAAGTGCTGTCCCTCTGGAGCCGGGTTTGGACGCAGCGCCCCAGCCCCAGGTCCTGCTGGGCTGCCTGGGGCTCTGCCGGCAGCGGAACGCAGTCGTCCCAGAGCTCAGGACCATCTGCTGTCATCGCCTGGTGCGTTCCTCCAGTGGAAATATGCACCAGGGGGTGAGTATATGTGTTTAAAACATCCCCCCAGTATGCTTCATTGATGCATTTGTCCTCCTGGGAGAGGATAAGGGAAGAAACACGACGGCTTTTAGTCGTGCTACTAAAGCACAGTGATACAGTGGAGCTGGGTGTGTTGTGAGAGCCCCCAGAGAATAAAAGTTACAGACCTGTTTTCACTGTGGCACAACGTCTTGGTTTTCTGCCTGGTACATAGCCTGCAATATTACTGCTCATTATCAAATTATACCATACGGGTATGGCATGAGTACACCACAAAACCTACAGGACGTAAAAAGTCTCTGGGTGGGCAGCAATGCAGGGATTCTAACGTTTGCATTTCTTAAAATGTTTTTGTTAAACTATATAATCCTATACGATATTAACTTGTTTCAAAATCTGTACAGCCTGCCATCGCTTGTCCAGGAAACAGGAGAAAGGGAGTATTTTTTACAAGCTGGGAAATGCGGCAGCAAACAGAGCTGCAGCCAAACCCGAGCCACGGGCGCTGCTCCTGCACCGCGGGGTAAGAGCAAAACCAGGCTCCTGCTTTAGAGACATCAGTGCCTTCCGAGAGGAAAGAAAACAAAATAGAACATTTCGCATTTGATTTGTGTGCCATTAGAAAGAAAAATGAGTGGAGCAGGCTAGCACAGCATTAATTAGCATCTCGTTAAGAGCCAGCCAGGCTGAAAGTACAAACACACAGGCAACGTGCGTGAAGCAAAGCCCGTGTTGTTCTGGTTCCGTGGTTAGATTTGCTCGCTTTTGTTTTCTCATCCACTAGACTGGAGACACCCATGTAGGCTTTTGTCTACAGGTCTGTGCATTATTCTTCTTCAAAGTACTCCAAAATCAGCAAGCTGTATTTTTGGTTTTAATTAGTTGGCAAGGTGACAAATCATGCAAGTGTCTGTAAAACTGCTGATGGGAAAATCCCGTATGAAGCGAAGAGAAATTATTCTCCCTTGGGAGACGCAGTGAGACACCATTATTTTTGGCACAGGAGGAAAGCAGTACTTGAAAGTGCTCCTGTCTTTGATTTGTTATCAAAGCTGAAACTATAAGAAGCCCAGAAAAGGACTTTTAAGCTAGAAACATAAAAACAAAATCCCAGATGAGCGCAGATCCCAACTGATGAGGCAAAAAGCAAGAACGGAATTAGCAGAAGGTGCTGAAAGAACAGGGAGATGAGCATCCTCTCAGCACCTTCCCGTGACTGCAAGGTGCAGGAGCGGTGCAGGGCAGGATGAGTACAGCCCCCTGCACACCAGTCCCTGGGAGGGCTTTAAACCCGAACCAGAGACGTGTATTGTGTGCACAGACACTGTGAGGTTTGAGGAGCACTGTGCAGAACTACCTCCTCACATTCACCGGCTTGGGGAGTGGGAGAACAGGAGCTTCCCAGGAGCCGTCAGAGTCCGACCGAGAGAGGGGAACATGCGGAAGCAAATGGACACCTGCAGTCTCTGAGCCTGACAGACTGTCCGGCTGGTTTCATTTGACTGCCACACAGATGTCAAGGGACTTCTGGGTTGTCCCATAGGGCCTGGAAATAGGCTCCCATACCATCTCCAGTGGCAGTAAGGAAGTATATCTTGCGGTATACAGCTCCCCTTTCCAGTCCTGGCTCTGACCTCTACACACTTTAGATGTTCTGTTCAAAAAAAAAGCTCACCATTTCTCTTCTAGTTCCCAAAACTGCTCCTTCTCGGTTTGTCTCCTGACTTGCTAACTTTCCATTTCCTTCAGTGACTCCTTTCTCCTCTCTGCTATGTCCACAGGTTTTTCCACTGTTCTTTTCGTCTTGCTCGGCTTCCCAGTGTACGTCATGGATTTCTAGGATCTCCACTGGTAGATGAGAACTGACCTAAATGAATTCTCCTGTCTTGTATCTTTCTTCTCTGCTGTTCTAATACGTCCCCTGGACTTCTGGTGTTCCGTCAGGTACAGGCAGCTGCACACACCACCAGCCCCAGCAGATCCTCCCAGCCTGTATTTACAGTTCAACTTTCCACTGCACATGGATGCAGGCTGCCAACACCAAAGCTTCATGCTCGATAACCTGTACTTCACCAGCATGTCAGTAGCTTAAAATTCCTTTCTGTAACCAACCATATCCTGTCTCTGTTACTGTCCATGCTTTTGTCCAAAGACAAAATTCAGTGACATGGATTATTTCCCCAGACGCCCTTGCTGTCCTCTTGCTCACTATTGAAACAAGTGTCAGGTTCTTATTCCTTCTTCCAGTCCTTGGACAGCTCTGAACCTGCCTGCCTTTTCCTTGTTTTCCATCACGCTCTTTCCTGTCTCGGCAGGGCTACGCCACGTTTCCACGTTTCTGCACAGGGCTGCATGAGCTTTTGCTCTGAAGCACACATGAGCATCGAGTCTGAGCTGCCTGGTGAGCATCCAAGTGACCCGGGGGCTGCCATGCAATTGATCAGCACTTGTGCAGCAAGTCCGACACGTCCAGAACGCCCCAGATTTCCTGTGCATGCACACAGCATTTGCATGCTGCAGACAGACAGGCTGAGGTTTTCCAAAAAAATAGATTAAAGTCATAAAACTTTCCCCAGACAAAACTGTAGGTAGAAAAATGACATGCCCCTATGCCAGCCTGCTTGCTTTCTCACTCCCTCATCGTCACACTTTCTCCTGTGCCAGGTATCACGTCTGAGTAAGAATGACAGAACCTCAGTGGCTGCTATCTGCAGATAACCTCTTTCTTAGTGACTGCAGATGCCTGTGCTTTGCTGCTCCCAGCAGCGGTTTGGGGGTGTTCCAGTTTGATCACAAGTATGAGCACTTTGAGCTCCCATTTGAAAACCATTGGGCACTGCTCTTAAAGCCATTAGCAGGCACATTCAGAATACAAAATTTTATTGCCGTTTCTCTGCTTCTATATTGCTCAATGACGGATCATTGTACATGCCACACATCCTCTCATCTGAGCGCTAGTTCCTGGGCCGCAGAGGCGAGCTTGCTAACAGGTTTCCCCCCTGGCGTGATGCCCAGTGTTCAGTGATCTCACCTGAAGTTCTATTTTAGTTTCTTTCCTGACATCTTGCAGCTGTTTCTCGAGTGACTTGATCTCCTTTTTTCCTTCCTCCTCTCTGAAGAAAAATGGGAAAACACAATCACTTGGCTATACCAAAAAAGACAAGAGCTGTTTACCCAGGAGAACTGGTACCCTGCCGCGGAGCTGAGCGCTGCCCCACTCATCCTGCTCGCTCATCGTGGTTGTAACAGCTGAGCTAAAAGAAGCGCACACAAAATCTTGGGCTGCTTCTCCAGAACAGCAGAAGACAAGCCCCTTTCGCGGCTGCGTAGCAAGAAAGGTATTAATCTCTTCCCTCGGAGCCTCGGGGAGGCAGCACATCTGCGAGGCAGGAGCAGACTCCTCACCCAAGCAGGTGACTGGGTGTGTTAAACCCAAAAGAAGAGGCGCACAGACTGGGCAAAGAGGATGGGAGTGAAAGGGAGAATGAACCAAAAACCAGGGGATGCTGGTGTTGAAAGCCTGGAGTGGACTTGAGGATAATGTGATTCCTCCAGCAGAGAGGGAAGAAGCCTGTCACCGAGTGACAGTTTCTGCATTTCAGGCAAAAATCTCCTTGTTTCTGTGCAGGATGCCTGACCAGCAGGCAGTGCTGAATTGTGTACATTTCATTATCTGTATGGAATATGTTTTTTTTTTTTTCATATCAGACTTAAAATCTTTCAAAAAACACTGCCTCAGATTCTGAGATCCATGAAGGGATGTGAGTGAAGGCATTCAACAAGAAATTGCTGCTTTCGTTTTTGCTCTCAGTCCCTTCCATGGATAAACAATAAATCCCTTGGGTTTAGTGGAAGAGTTGGGTTTCACGCTTGAAATCTCCCATTTCACTGGAAGCTGGGGACTTGTGCTGGAGGCAGACCACTGAGCCACACCGGGCATGACAAACCACGACTTAAGAGTAGCTTTGCAGCCTACCCAAAGTGACGGGCCTGAGCTGCTACACGGAACAAAGTAAGTTTAGAACAGTCAAATACTTCTCTGATGACTGCTGTGCTCTCTGACAGGCTAGGGATTGAACCAGAGTTTCCTGTGCTTAAAAAAATCTACAAACATTTAGCGCACACAAGTTTGCTCTAGGGAATCACCAGTTTGTGTTGAAATTATGACAAGTCTGCACCCTATCAGATTTGAGACAGAAGAGGATCTGTAGTGCAGTGGCTGGGGGATTAGCCTTAAATAAGACACCTGCCTCTGTCACCATCTGTGCTGGCCCCTCACTGCTGCTGGGCAAAGGGGGTGTATTAGCACAGGGGTCAGAGCAGATCCTCCTGGGCATCCCGTAACCTACAGACCATATGTTGCTGGCCCTGGTTTGAACAGATTCTCTGCTGCTCTGGCTTTCACTGGGGACAAGGAGGTAAAGATCAAGGAGCTCCTACATCGCATTATGTTTTAATTGGTGTGGAGCATTTGCATTAATGCCGACACCGGTGTCCGTTGTGGTGAAAGCTCAGGCAGTTCCCAGCTCAGATCAGTATCAGACCCATCAATTATTGATTTCTGAAAGGGACAGAAGTGCCATTTGTAAAGCAGACAGAAGAATTCAAGTTGAAAAAAAAAACTGAATCCTTTCTGTGTCTTGGGTTTGGTGTTTTTTGGGTTTTTTTTCCTTTTTAGCATGTACCAAGGGGGAATGGATGTTGGCTTTGAGCAGTGAAGCAGGAAAGTACTGAACATATCACTGACCTGATGAGGAAGTCGTGGAACTTGCTCTTTTTTGCCTTCTCTCTCTCATTAGCTTCTGTGAGGCTATTAAATGTTCCTGATTCCTGCGTATTTTTCATAGTGGCTGCAATCACATCACTTGCGTACTGCCTGCCAGGAAGAAAAGGAACACAACAGTAATTTACAGGTGCTGGTACTACAGTGTCTGGCACCTTTATCCATTATTGTTTACAACTTAAAAGGTAAGAAAATATAAGATCCCGTTTCTGTTCTTGTGTCTATCAAACCCAGGAGAGCTTCTCCCATGGTAACTGCTTCTTGTACATCTGGAGAGCTCTGTATTAGGAGTTGGTTGAAGTTTGTAATTTTAAAATGCTGTCCTGAATGCTACCCTAGGAAATAGCAAAGAGGCACAAACACACCCATGCTGTGCCAGACTGTGCTGCCGTCAGGAAGAAAGCTGCTGGCCTGCAGCAGTGATGACAGATCGTGAGGATACAGACAAGTGTGTCTATGAAGCGATATCTGGGTGCCAAAATATCCTAGTACAGCCCTACACTGATCGTAACAAATACATGGGCTTGCTCAGTTTATTTAATTTCACGGTGCACATGGTATTTGTATTTTAGCTGCATTTTCCGCATTTGTGTTAGGATCTTCTTTAAGCCCTTTGTTGAAATAACATTAAAGGGCAGAAGCCAGGATGCAGAAAAATGCGTACTGAGTGCTCAGCTCCCCAGTCCGTCTTGTAAACCAAAGGCCGTTAGTATTTCCACAAATCCAGTCACTTGATTAGGTAAAGGAACAACATTTTAGAGAATCACAGAATGGTTTGGGTTGGAAGGGACCTTCAAGGTCATCGAGTTACAACCCACCTCCCACTGCCCAGGTTGCTCAAAGCCTCATCCAGCCTGGCCTTGAACCCGTCCAGGGATTTTTGCTTTCAAGACATGGACTGCGAACTTTACAGCTCCGAGCATCCCCCATAGACATCGCGTTTGTGCTCACTCACCTGTCAGCCTGAATTTTGCTGAGATTCTGTACAGACAGGGCACTGTGCTTCATGGCCCTGTTGGAAAGATGATGGGCACTTTTTAGATCTTTGGTTTTCCCCAGCTGCTGGTTGTGTTCAGTGCTTTTCAGAGCCATGGAGGGAACTGCTTCCCCACTCCCTCGCCTTGCGGACACAAGCTCTTGGCAGTTACTGTCCAGCTCGCTCTGAGTCTCTGTGATTTCTTTCATTTCCTGGCTGCCAGTCTAAAAGGGAATCAGAGAGACCTGCTTGCACATTGAGTAGTAGGAATAAACCCTCTGCAGCGTTATGCGAGAAGAGAAATTAATAATAAACTAGAATGAAGTTATATTAAAAGCAGTTCATAGTGTGTGTTACATTCGGCAAAGACTAGAAAACCAGAAATGTTTCTCTGGGTTGGCCTTGAGCACTAACGTAGGCTTATTAAAGTTTATGGGATCAAAAGTCCTAAAGTGACACGACTGGAAAAGGCCTCGAGAGATCCATCTGCCCCAAGAGACGAGGGTTCAGACTGTGCCGTTGGTCTGACGTGTCCTTAATGACGTCCAGCAATGGAGCCTACACACCCTCCTGCCGCCGCCAGCGTGTCACAACCAGCTTTCCTGGAAGAAAGTTTTCTCTTCTCAGCTGCAGTTGAGCCCCTGACTTCTTGTCCTAGTCTCCATAGGCACAGAGAACAAACCATTCCTCTTTGCAGCAGCTTTTACGTGCTGGAAGACTATTTGCCTGTCCCCTCTGCCTTCTCACCCTCTTAGCCATTGCCCACTGCCTGTCACCAGACCTTTCCCATAATATTACTGTTATCATGAGCTGAGGTGTGTGGAAATGATGGTTGGACTTGATGATCCTTGAGGTCTTTTCCAACCTTAATGATTCTATGATTCTATGAAATAAAAGTGACAGACATCAGCTGTCAAAGCACTGGCAGCTCTCTTCTACATGGAGAGGCGTCTTGTGGCCGTGTACAATTTGATTAAAAAAGATAAAGCCCCAGAAAAACAAAAGCACCAAATCAGCTGTGGCCTTGCTTCTAGGAATTTCTCTGCTTTATGTGCTATGGGTAAGAAAAAAACCTGGGACATTAAAAGAGGAAATGTTCTTGCCCACGTGTTGGCATCTCAGTGGCAGAACATGCAATAGGCAGTACCGCTGGAGCCAGCCAGCACCCTCACTGCAGCCCCGTCCCTGCTCCCCACCCTGGCTGCCTGGGAGAGTGGATTAGGGAACTTACTGACCTGAGACATTTTCTAGCAGAAAGGAAAAAAAAAAAAGTTTATATTTAGCAGCACCAGTTCACATTTGTGCCAGCACAGCCCAGAGGGCAGAGCACAAGCCGGCTGTCCGGGCAGCAGCTGTGCATGCCAGCAGGGTTTCCAAGGAGCTGCTTGCCAAGAGAGGAGCCGTGAGCGGTCTGCGATGCTGCCGCGGCCCGTGGGGCAGTGCACAAGGGGCTGCTTCGTTCAGGGTATTTTGGATGTCTCCAGATGGGACGAGTGAGCCTCTGGCAGTGCCTGACTCACGACTGACTACAGGAGTCTAGGGGACTGCACGCGTAATTTTTGGACAGTTAAACTGACATTAAATGAATTGCATGCAAAGTTTACACAGACCAATGACAATTACATAGTTAATTAGAAAGAAAGGGTTTCAATAGTTTGCTAGTGATGGCTGTACTTCAGAAAGAAAGAATTTTGGCAAACAAACTGCTTTAATATCATGTAGATTTAATGAATGTTCTGATAGATGTTTTTGAGTGTCTGGGAGAGTTCAAGACAGGCTCTAAATGGGGTGTCTGTAAACCCTGGGGACTTACACACTAATAATTACCAAATAACCACATAAGAGCAAGGAGTTTGTGAACTGCATGTGTTACATCTGGGTAGTCTCCTAGCTGGTTATCTTTTGCTAGTCTTTTGCCCAAAACTCAGCAAATAGAAAGGCTGCCTTCCTCTGGGGGATGAAGCGATGGACATGAGTGCTCGATACGGAAAATCAATGAGGTGCTGGCCAACACTGCGGTGAATCCTCTCCAAAAAGTCATCAACTGAAATTTAGCTGTCAATCTTTGAGAGTGTCATTGATTTGTTTGACAGACAGAGCTCCAGGGTGCTTTGCAAATAGAGGTCTTCTGCAAACCCAATGACAGCAGCCAAATGTGAGCTGAGCAGCGGGGAGGAGCAGCAAATTACAGAGCACCAAAGTTAGCAAGTAGCTTCCCTAAATTGTTTCCTTCTTTATTTGTTTTGGCATCTTTAAGAACACAAGTAGGGTTCATCGTCTGTGAGAAAATAGTGTTTTAAGTGACTTGGTAAAAACGAGCATCTGTGATTTAAGAGAACAGGTAAGGTGTTTTCTCTATAATTTCAGAAGTGTACTTTTAATAGGTCTACCAACCGGAGTCTGTGTGTCTGAAGAAGAACAACTCCTCCTGTCCTGGAGATAGGCTTTTTCTCTGGGTTTTTGCTGCTGGCACATAAGAAGTTTCCCAGCCAGCTCCATGAGGGAGAAGCATCCTCTGGGAAGAGGTGATGCTGGCTCCCAGCACGCTTCGCAGGGGAGGACTGCCCTCTATTGCACACTCTGAGCATCGTTCACGCCCTGAAGTTTATTGTAGCAGCAGCTTCTGCAGCTTTGCAAGGGATTTTTTGCAAGGTAGCATGGAGAGGAAACACATAGAAAACACCACCTTGATTTACCTTCCTCTTGCATTCTTACATGGTACAGACAGTGAGCAGCATTAGATCTGAAAACTCGGGTCCCAGTTTTTATTTCCATCCTGGTCACACACTTTTTTTTGAGTTCCTCTTGAAAAAGAGTTTCAGACCTGCTTAAACTGGAAACAGGCTGATATATGACAACAGAACAGAGAACCATTTGCCCATCAGGAGGGTCCCATCCTGTGTCCTCTCATCACCAGAAATATCACACCACCTTCCTGCACAGCAACAAACCTCTGCCGGAGCATCAGGGCTTCTTCTCTGTTCTCTGTACCTCTGCCCAAACCCTCTTAGTTATGATGACTATTAGGAATCAACTCATTAATAATGGTAATTGAGAATGGGTAGTTACTAGTGTATTTTGAAGCGGAATCTTTCTTAATCAATTATCTGTGGAGATTAAAGGAACTTGAGCATGGACTTAGAGAGGAACAGAATTACCCTGGTTTTGAGTGCTTCCAAAAATCCTATTAATTTGTGTTTTTAAAATAGCTGTGTATCTACATAAGAACCTAGATATGTTTTGCTTCCTTTTCCCTAATCCTTTGCTTGTCATCTAACCACTGAGATGTTCAAATTATAAACCCAGGAACCTCATCTTGGGTCAATAAGGTCTTTTGCACAAAGTCTAGACTAAAGCTTCTCAGCGATGCTGCAGTATAAATATTAAAATTGGTCATCCATGTGTTTTTGTTGTGTTTCTTCATCTAAGGGTCATAGAGCACTTAGCAGAAAAAAAATAATCTGAATCAATTTTTTTTAAATGCTGGTAGAAGACATAAAACCAAAAACAAACAAAAAAAAAAGAGATCTATTTTTAAGCAGGGAGGATAGAGGCACATACATGGCTGAGGTCTGTCTTGCCCTCCCGTGAAACCGGCGTGATATATCCAAGAATGGAGAGCTGATCGACACAATGCTCCAGCACAGCAGTAAACAGCAGAGCTTCCAGATGAGTGAATTTTTCCATTTCTTTAGTCTCTGTGTCCTTGCTAAGAGGAACAAAGACAAAAGATACCGATGAGAGAGCGGCTCTGGTGTTAGTAACAGCAGTTTAAACTAAAGGTAGACCCGCCATAGCCTTATTTGCAGCCTGCCCAACCTTGTTTATAGCCTTTCCCACCCTGTTTATAAGAGGAGCTGTGCTCTGCTGATGGCTGCACTCAGGGACAGAGGGAATGTTTGGTCGGTCCCGGTCCCTCCCGGAGCAGATGTGGGTATCAGGCTGAGGGAAGGGTGATGTGGATGGCGCAGACTGGGCGAGTGGCCTCAGCACTCGGTTCAAGGGGGAGCGGTGCTTCGTGATAGACCTTGTTCTTTGAGAACCACCAGAATGAAGGTGCCTTTTTAAAAGGAGAAAAAAATCCACACCTCTTACAGAATCTCAGCCGGTGAACCTTCGTGCTCTAATCATTCCTCATTATTACTGCGTAGCTTTGACATTTTTATCATCGCAATCCTCTCGGCAGCTTGGCGTGTTGAAAGTCACACAAGGACCAATATCTGGACTAAGGGAACTATCTTTAGCAGTCTGTGTTGTTTTATTTTAAATTGCATTTCAAATGTGAAATTACTCTGATGTGCACTTCAGCATCCCTTTGCTTTGCTTACAGATGGAACCTTGTGAAAGTGCATCTAGGGACCGGTGGAAAATTCACTGTGAATGCAGGTGAAATCGCTCCGTTTAGAAAAATGCATAAGAAAACATCTGCATGAAAATGGAGAAATCCTCTGAGATTTTTAATGTTTGGTAAGCTGTTAGACAATTCCTCCAAACCCTATACTTACAAACCAGGTATTTCTGGTATGATAACACCTAGCACAACTGGAGTCTGGAACGACTGAGAGCCTGAATGTCATTGCAATGGCAGCAGCAACATCCACGAACAAAATCTTCATTTGGCTGCTCTGCTGACAACTGGATTTGTGCCATCTGTAAAATCCTTGAATAAACATAGTCTAGGTCTGCAGAATATAACAGTCCAATCTGTAAGCATGCCAAGGAAATACATCAGCCCATGCCTGTTAGCGTGATTAACAGGGTAGGACGTGCCCACATTCTATGAAAATTAAACAAGTTTAGATGCAGTTATGTTCTGGATCACTGGAAATCCGAGATTTTTCCAAAGCAACTTCATGAGTGTTTAAAAAAATGCATATTTACTACTCTCTGAAACTGTTACCATTTGTGCTCATCCTTTTCTGTTCTTTTTCTTGAGGGAAATGCAGTAATTTACAGTTGGAACATGGAATGAATTTCACTTGGGCAGAAAATACGGGTCACTTTTCAGCGCAGGTTTATTATGTGTCTGTTAGTATCACGATAGGTAAAATGAACAAAAACCACCATGGCTTTTATGTGTTTGTTTCCTGATGTCCAGGCTCTTGCAGTAAGTTGTTTAATGCAGCATGTATTGAAATGTACCGTCCTTTGTAACGGAACACGGCTCTCCTTGTGCAGAGAAAGCCTCCTCCACTGAGTAAACCTCAGATAAGCCAGTGTGCATATTTCTAGTTGTTTGTGTTAAAATACATGCACAGGTACAGAAGACAACTGGTAGGGTGATCACAGGACTAGATAATCTGTTTTACAAGAGGTTAAAAGAACTGACAACTGTGATTACGCTCTGTAAATGCACAGGAAGAGTAGATAGCAGAGAGAGACAGAGCTATTTACGTTAAAGGATAGTACTGGTCCAGGGTCAGAGGAGTGTAATTTCCTCCAAGCCAGGCAATTACGGTAAGCTTTCCAACTTCTGGAGGGATGAAGATATGAAACAGCCTTTCAGACAAGATAATGGTAGAGGCACCCTAAATTACTTCAAGAAGCTTGCTTGAATCATGGCAGGAAAAGATAGCAGCAAAGGAGTAATTCTGAGTGTTATCAATCAGTTCACGATCCTTCTTGTACTATTTATACTGATTTTACCTAATTAATCCCACTGTACAGGGCTTTTGATGGTCACCTTTGACTAAGAAGGAATTGATTTCCTCCCTTTGCTTCTGAGATTTTTTTCTCTCCTAATTATAAAAAAAAATTGCTACAACTTGAGATAGGAATCTGATCATATCATTAACAAATAAATAGCGAATAATCTCTGTAATAAACTCAAACCATCACTTTTCCTTTCTTTTCAACCTTGGAATCAATGATAGAAGGGGAGATGCATGAATTAAGTATTTTGACACAGAGGAAGTCAGACAATGTCTCCAGTCAACAGGCACTAATAAAATATTTTAAAATGTTTTACTCAGTTTTATCTTTACAAGAAATCTACGATCCATATTTTGAGCCTAAATGACAGAAGAATAATCTGTTACATGTGGAGTTTTAATGCTAACAATATGGTGAAAGAAGATTTGTTGTGAGATAGCTGTGAGAGATGATTACAACAGCGTTCCTGAAAGAAGAAATAACACTTGCAGCTCTTGCAGGAAAAAGTGACTTATTTGGAAACGAAGAAGGATGCAATAGCTTTTCCTCTATCCCATCAGCAGCTTCTGTCCAGGAGAAAATGAACTCAGGATATTAATGTGTGTTAAGAAAGCTCACAGCTGGAATGTTTCTCTAAAGCCGGGGGGTTTGCTCCTCCGATGTATCTCCTCTTATAACCAAATCCTCACTCAGCAGATGCGTGGGCCAAGCCAGCACGCTCTGGGCTTAGGTTAACTTGGAAGAGAGAAGGAACCCGCTGTCTGGGGCACTAGGAAACACTACAAACAGGGAGCTGCTCTCCCTGGATTTTAGCGTTAACGCAGTGCCCACAGACCACCCTAACTGGCACCGACCTGGATCACTGCGCTTTGCTCAACTCCTTCATTAAACCCTATCAATAAAATAAAATAAAATAAAATAAAATAAAATAAAAAGGTATGTGAAGGATTCAGCTTCCCTCAAGGGTTTAGGTTGACATTCCTTCCCTGATGATCTAAAGGGAAAGAAAAACATATCGAGCAGTAATTTTTAAAACAACTGTATGAAGGTCTGGCCTCCTGTTCCTTTGAGGATTGCAACTCCCTCTGGTGTGTGAGAGTCCTGGATGTACATTCCTCCCATCCTGCTGCCTGATAAACTAAAATACCTTCAAAGGCAGCATTTTTTGCAGCATTCCTTTTGGTTAATTAAGGAGATACTGATGAACTCCAGTGAGAAAATTCAAAGCTGAGAATGTCACCTCTCCTGAGAGAGATTCGGAATCTCCATGGTGGCTGGGCATAAATCAGAAATACCTTCTTTTTTACCCCCCAAAAATGTCTCTTAGGGAAGCAAAATAGTTGTGGCCTTACAGAGTTCTGCTGCTTTTAGCTGTGTGTCCCATATGGGACTAAATCTGTATGGGACAGAAAAAATACAAGATTTTGGGAGGATTTACTGGCCATGGCATCTCTGCTGCTGGAAAACAGAGTGTTTTGACAGTTTATTTTCCTCAAAGCAGGGATTCTGTCCTTTCTCTGAGCAGAGGTTGCTGGCACACATTTTATACCGTTAACCAGGTAAATGACTGAGCAGTGCTTTGCTTTCTACCTCTTCCTTAAAGCAGAAGCCAACAGAATAATTTGGAGAATTGATAGTATTCCATCCCTTCTCTGCTCCTACTTCCTAATCATTTCATCTCACTAAGAAAAACCTCTGTTATACCTGCTCACAAGGTACTGAGTGCTTCTACCCCGGCCCAGCAAAGGGCAGATAAACTTCATTGTCCTCCCGGGACAGGATCTAATCCCAGCTGAAGGTCTCCAAGCTCAGCTGGTGACAAGATGACAGTAGATTTCATTCCCAAGATCCAATTTTTCATAAAAGCGCTCTGGGCATGTGTTCAGAGGCAGGTTAGGACACTGAGGAACAAAGTCACGGTGAAAGCCTGGCCAGCCAGGGCCCGTTTTGTGTGGGACTCAGCTCCTCGATCCCAAGCGCTCTGAGGATGTGCCTGGCGTCCGGCTGTGTGCGGGGAGTGACAGAAACCAGGAGTGACCGACCCTGACTGGGAAAAGCGGGAAGGTACACGCTTCCACCTGTTCTTATTTAGGAAACCCCAGGAACGGAGCCTTCACGACAGGGATTTGAGCCTAGAAACCCGTGTTTTCTGTCACGGAGGCCATACCGGGAGTGAAATAAACGTTGGGCTGGTTCACCAGCTTCAGGTGAGGAGAGAGGAAG